TTAATTGGGTTGTCCTTTTATTATTAAGCTGTACATTCTGAAACAAGTCCTCTGTCAGATATATGTATTGTAAATATCTCCTTTCAGTCTGTAAAGCAGGTGATTGCTAACCAGAAGGCAGGCAGTTCAAATCCACCAGCCACTTCTCAGAAGGAAGACTTCCATAGAGATACTGCCTCAGAAACCCAAGGAGGGGTTGCTATGACTCAGGACTGACTTGACAGCAGTGAGTTTGGTTTTTAATTTTTGGTTTTGGGTTACATGCACCTTAGTCTTCAAAATGACATCTATGCTCTTTAACATTTTAAAGAGTTTTTTTTTTTGCAGCAGCAGCAGCAGTAGCAGCAGATTTGCACAGTGCAATACGTCTGACTTCCTGACTGCTGCTTCCATGGGTGCTGATTGTGGAGAGTCTTTAAAGATGCCTTATAAAGATCTCTGAAAGACTGAAAACTAAACCTCCTAGGAAGAGGCCAAAAATGTTTTTAAGGTATCTGTATGTTACCTTATTCCAAAAAGGATTTAATGTGACTTGCAAAGACTCACAGTATAGCAAGAAAATCACTTGTCAAATAAATGAGAAAAATGCAGGTCTCCACATTAAGCAAAAGACACAAAAACATTTAAAATAGGTGAGAGAAAAAGAAATTATCTTCCACGGAAAAGAAATAGTTGAGAAGTATCTTTATAGTTATTTTATTACCATAAGCAATTCCTTAAAGAGCATTACTGACTAAGAAGTGGCTTAATTCTTAAGAAATGGCTTTATTCCTGAGCATAAAGCACTTGACTGGTGCATTAGTGATCTACTGCAGGGTAATAATCACCCTAAAACTCAGCAACTTAAAGCAATAAGAAATGGTTATTACCTCACACAGTTCTGAGGGTCAGGAACCTGACAAGGGCTTCATGGGGTGGTTCCAGCTTAGGACCCCTTGTGATGTTGCACACATGGCTAGGGCTGTGGTCATCTGAAGGCTTGACTGGGACTTACAGGATCCACTTCCAAGACAGCCCATCACATGGCTGCTGGCAGGCAGCTGAATTCCATGCCACCTGGACTTCTCTCCATTTGGCTGCTTGAATGTCCTTATGAGGCAGCTGGCTTCCTCAAAGGGACAGATCCAAAGAACCATGAGGAAGCTGCAGTACCTCTTGTGACCTCGTCTCCGCGGTCACACACCATCCCTTCCATCACTTTCTCCTTTTTAGAAGCAGGTCACTAAATTCAGCCCAGACTCAAAGGGAGAGGAATTACCTTCTTATTCTCGAAGAAAAGTGTAGCGAAGAATTTCCAGACATATTTATAATCATTACAAAGTGATATAAGAATTTCCTCTCACAAGGAGTTCTGGTGGTGCCAGTGGTTAAAGCACTCAGCTGCTGTTTGAACCCACCAGCCATTCTGTGGGAGAAAGATGAAGCAGATGGCTTCCATAAAGATTAAAAGCCTTGGAAACTCTGTGGGGCAGTTCTACTCCATCCTCTAGGGGCACTGAGAGTCCAAATTAACAGGACAGCAATGAGTGTGGTTTGGGCTTTGCTTCCATGAAGACTGACAGCCTTGGAAACCCTGTCGAACAGTTCTACTCTGACCTCTAGGGGCGCTGTGAGTCAGAATCGACTCCACGGCAGTGGGTGTGGTCGAGAAATAGCTTCAACTGCTTTCTGTAAAGCAGGTGATTAAACATAATCAGGTTCTCAATCATTTAAAGCTGTTATTTCATAATAGCAAGTGCTAAATAAATATTATCTGCTATATACAAAAGCCTTTGCCGTACGTAAAACATCATAGACCTTCAGAGTCATCTTGCAAAGTGGGTACTATCATCCCCATTTCCAGTAAGAGAGTCAGTCAGAGACTTAAGCCAGGATTCACACCCAGGTCCACCGTGTTCCAGTCACTGCTCTTCCCCGTGCGGGACGCTTCTGTTACCCCAGCTACCAGTCTCGCGCTGGTGAAGCAGCACTCAGGATTTGGGAAGGAGCACAGCTCACATTTTCAGACATTTCATCAGTCTGCACTTTTGCTCCACCAGTTAGGTTCTTACTTTCCTCAATTTGTTTTTCCTTTGTCTTGTGTGTTGCATTTGCTACTGTTTGGCCTCCAGCGTGTTCCATCCAACTTCTGGCACCTTAGGCTGTCCTCCCTCGGGGGCTGTCGCATTCCTGTTCACACCAGACAGTAAGATGAGCCCTCCCAAGGAGAAGCAATAGGTCACAAAGTGTCGGGAGTAGAGGAGCCCTCTCCAGCAGCTGGACTCCGGTCCAAACCTCCCAAGACCTCCCCAAAAGGTAGCTAGGGATCTGTCCAAAGACACAGGCCAGTGGCAAACCTGGAGCAAAAGCCTGTCCGCAACAACCCTCAAGAGTTCCTTGCACCCCCAAACGTCTATCTCTCCATCCCAAGACCTGAGCATCAGTTCGCCTTTTCTGGTCTGCAATCCCTGCCAGGAAGCAAGGACATACCCCAGGGGGACTCAAGCCAAACCTGTCCTCCAACAATCCAACTGGTCCCCAAGTCCTGGCCACTCAATCTATCCTGTCTGTCCCCCAAAGTCCTAATACAGGCACTTTTTATTTCACTTAGGTTTCAGCATCAGTTTCTTGAAGGTTCTACCTGGCTCTAGACTCACACTCTCTCATTTACCCAACACCGTGGCAGCCAAAGAGCTCTAATAATCATGTCATTGACTTGATACAACGTCACAGTGGACTACGTCAAGAAGGGTCCTGTAGTTCACCCTACACGTTATAAAGAGCTAGCATGCAATGTCTACTCTGTACCAGACTTTATGTTGTTGCATTTAATCCTCTCAGTGCTGCAACATCAGTATACTGTTCTTTCAGGTTGGCCCCTCAGCTGTACTCCAAACAGCCAAAGCAATCTAATGCCCTTTCTGGTCCACCCATCTATCTAGCAGATCCACGTGTTGTTCTCTGTGCTATCATCTCCTCTTGTACAGATCTCCGTTACAATAGGTTTACACCATAGCTCTGAACTGTTTCCAACCAGTTCAGACATGGACCATACAGAGAAATCAAATCAAACCTAAATTTGTAAAATGTGGGTGTAACAGAATAGAAAAATGATGGGTCGAAGGCCTGGAATGGGAGATTTAGGTGAGACATGGTAAGCCCTTTCAGAAGCCAGGACTGTGGAAAGCAACACTTCACCATCTTAGAGCCAGGAGCCACTGCTTCCAAGATGTAAGTTTTCCATTCCAGTTAGTATTCAGGAACACCCACATTTCACAAATTCAGGCCTGTTCAGGGTTGCCTCATTAGCCATAACTGAACTGGGAAGAACCAGTTCAAAGCCCTGGTTTACACACCTTCTGTAATTAAAAAAAAAAAAAAAAAAAAAAAAAACAAACTCACTGCCATTGAGTTAGATCAGACTCACAGGTTGGAAACCCCTCCTTGAGTTTCCGAGCTGGTATCTCTACAGAAGTAGACCGTCCGATCTTCCTTCCAAGGAGTGGCTGGTGGGTTTGAACCACCAGCCTTCTGGTTAGCAGTCAAATGCCTTAGGCACTACACCACAAGAGCTCTTGTACCAAAAAGGAATTCCATGTTCATCCTGTGTCCCCAGCCCCCGGCAAAGAACCTGCTTCATAATAAGAGCCCCATAAATGATTACTGGCTGGATTAGCAACAGGAGAACCCATTATGGCATTGGTACACCTCCCATTAAATCAACTAACATCTCCCAGGAGTTGCCAGCTTATCATACATCACCCAGAAATCCAAGGGACTTTCAGCATCCTTTTAGGAGTTCCCCGCTTCCTACTGTGATCTGAGTAACAGCCAAGTATTCGGTGAAGCCTAAAGACAGAACCTGTAGCGATTATCTGTACCAACCAAGCCTAGTGTCCCCCTACCCCCGCGTACCCTCTTGGTACACACCCATGATTCTACTATAGTTATCTGCTGGCTCCCGGGGACAGAGGGGAACGAAAACTTTCCATTTTTCAATTCTGTCACCTAGCGTAAGCCCTGGACACATGGTGGACCATGAGAAACAGTAAGGCGTCAGAACCGTTATAAAGTAACGTTTGTAATGTGTTGTCTCACGCTAAGGTTAACACGCATGATCTCATTTAGTGCTTGTAACAATCCCACGAGGGAGACACTATTCGACGTCACTGCCATTGTAAAAGCCCCACAAGGGAGGTAGTGTTCCCCTTTACCCCCATTAAGCAGACGAAGAAACTGAGGCGGGAGAACGGAATAAATCCAACCGGCAGGGACCGAGGCCCCGCCCACGGTCTATCGTCACCGTTTTATTTACTCCTCTGGACAATCCCACAGGCGAGTCTGCCGTCACGTCCCCATCTGAGGACAGGAACTCTCAGACTTGCACACACTGTCCCGACACACAGCTCGTGAGGGGACAACGTCAGGAGCCGAGCGGTGTCTGTCAGCCTCTGGCACCTTCTCTCTCTGCTCACCACGCCGCCTCTCAGGGCAGACACAGGCCCGACCAGGGATTTTCCAAGCTCCCCGAAACCCTGCCTCCACTGGCGACGGCGAAGGCCAGGCCCTGCGGCGAGAACGTAATTCCAAGCCCACGGCCTCGACTCGGCGACGGGCGTTCCCGCGGCGGGGGTCCGTCTCCCCGACCAGGGCCTGGGAGCGCGCCTCGCACGGGCCGGAGCGCCGCAAACGGGCCG